TTGAACTCTGAAAGCAGGTGAAGGTCACTTCTCCATTGTTCCCATTTCATTCTTAATGGTTCTGGAACCTTGTCATCCCAGTCTGCCCCCGTCGCGACAGAACTGTTGCAGAATGATTTTTCCTGTCAGAATCAGAAGGGTAAGCAGACCAAGAGGATCAAACACAGAACTGACTGTTGACAGGATTCCTGTTCTCGTAAACGGTTGATCCTTTAGTACGACTCCACGCACCACTATACGCCAAGAGCGGGCTCAACTGGAAGGCTCTCTTTGGTGAAGTCTAGATTCTGAATATTCTTCGACAGATCTTGTAGAGGGATGTTATCTATTACCGCTTTGTGTTCTTAACTAAGGCTATAGCTGCTTCAGAAGTTGAAACGGATTTCAGGCCGTCATCCACATAGAAATCGTTGTTTAGGAAGTTAGCTGCTTCTTCTCCATAATTAGATGTCCAAAGTCACTTGCGACCTTCTTTAAGGCGAAATTAGCACAGCCTGGAGAGGAAGTAGCACAGAAGTGATGTACAGTCATTCTATACTCCTCTGGGTCGCTGTCGACATTGCTACTATCCCACCAGAAGAAGCAGAGAAGGTTGCAGTGCTCTGAGTTGACGTGGACCTGGTGGAAAATGCCTTCGATATCGCACATGACAGCTACTGGCTCCTGAGGAAATCTTCACAACGCGTCCACCGTGCTGTTTGTTAGGTCCAGGCCTTGGAGGAGGTGTCTATTGAGGATTTGCCTGCAATTTCCACGCTACAGTCGAAAACAACTCTTATCTTTCCCTGCTTTCTTGTAAATACTCTTCCATGGTGCGGAATGTACCACACGTGTCGATTATTTGTTTAAACTTCTTCGGCTGGAATTTTCTCCGTGTGACGTCGGCTGATAATATCACTCATAAAGGCCAGGTAGTCTACCTTATATTTGCTGTCAGACTTGAGCCTTCCTTTCAGTTTCTTCAGACGTTTCAGAACGACTTCCTAGTTTTTATGTAACATAGTTGATTCTTGCTTGAACTGTAGTGGCATCTCATAATGGCCATCACGTCTTTGATGAATCCCTTCATTAACCTTTGATAGAACCTTCTGTCTTCATGACGGAGAAAATGTTCCTCAGTCCTTGTCACCGTAAAATCAAACTCAAACGTTCGGTTCACGTGAACCAGGTTCAGAACTGGCTCCATCGTTTGCGTCCTAAGGGCGAAGTGACTTCATGAGACTTCACACGAGACTATGCGATGAACAGCCACCTTTTTGCAATTCCATCTACTGAGCTCTACCATCCTGAAGATCCCCCAGATGAGTGCGGTGCGTTGGGCGTAGGGATCATCTTCGTTTCCTGGAATGACTTCTCTTGGTTCAATGGCGCGAGCGCACTTAATGCAAAAACTGAGCTGACATCAAGATCTTCCAAATAGGGCGTGAGCTGATCTGTGATTCTATTCAAGAGTGTCCACATCCGAGCCGTTTCAGGTGTTGGCATTTGACTACGCTTTGCTGGGATTATGTCTCTGGTATAAATTCCTGGAAGTGGGATCTCTGTTCATTCCTTCACGCCACGAACCGAATCCTTTGACTTGTAATGGTTTCTTCAGCTAAGACCACAGACAACTTAAGCAGAGTTTCCCGTCCACTCACACTGAGCTTCTCAATCATGGCTTGTTTAACAAGGCACGCATCAGACTGATCATCTGACAGAGTGTAAACCATGATCTTTGTGTTCGGGTCGTGTTCATGATGCAGCCATACTGGTACACCTGTACTATAACAAGGGTTTGGTGTGGCTGTTCCTACCCCATAATTGAATGCAAAGGGAAGTCGAGTTCTCGCAACTTGTTTCACGATTTTCCTGATCTACGGGCTTGTTTAACAAGGCACGCATCAGACTGATCATCTGACAGAGTGTAAACCATGATCTTTGTGTTCGGGTCGTGTTCATGATGCAGCCATACTGGTACACCTGTACTATAACAAGGGTTTGGTGTGGCTGTTCCTACCCCATAATTGAATGCAAAGGGAAGTCGAGTTCTCGCAACTTGTTTCACGATTTCCCTGATCTACGGGCTTATTTTCCTTGTCCCGTTGAGCTGCTGCATCGTCATGTAGTGAGGTGGTATGTCGGGGTTACAGATATTACATGTCCTCCCTCCTCTACGTTCTTTAGACAAATGGCGCCACTTGAGGCATCCCCAGCAAAGTACATTGGCTTGAGCATGCCTTTTTCTTTCGGTAAGGGTTTTTTTTGGAAACTTAACACAAAGATCCAGTTCGTGATTCTCCTTACAGAAGAGACAGATGACGCATTTCGTGTTGCTTGTGCTGGTTGTCGCAGCAGCAGTTCTCTTTTCCTCAGACAAGCCAGTTGCGAGGGTTCCAGCATTAAAGTGTCCCTCGTCGCGTGGATTAAAATTAGTTCTTCTAGGGTTACTCTTGTTGGTTTCAACTGCCTTTACCGCTTGTAAGGAAGTTACTGGGTTGCGCAATATCCTTGCTTCTCTCTTAAGAAATTTGCAGAATTCAATTGCAGAAGGGAGAGTAGCCATTCTTCACCACTCCTTCCTTCGATAATGGAATTTCGTCGTCCTCCTCTAATTGATCTGCAATAAACCTATTGGTCGACAATCCTGCTTCATCTCGTCACCAAATAGCTTAGCAGATTTCTGATCATCTTTTGTTTTTTTTCTGGTCGTTGAGCATATTAAGATACTCAACAGTGATCGTTGTCATGAGACAATACTGAAGGAAGTTTGTTAATTTCCTTAAACTATGACCATCGTTTGGTAGGACCTTGGGCCAGTTATTGATTCTCTTACGGTACTTTCGCTGTTTAGGGAAAGAATACCACTTACGGATTCTCCCGACGTATATTTGCCCAGATAACATAGTAGCTCAGATGGATCTTTAGTCTTCCTTTCGATGAACGTTTCAAACGACTTTTTCCACATAGGGTAAATTAGGGTGTCTCCGGAAAACACCTCCGGCTATGGACGAGGAAGAGACGATCTTGCCTCTGGGCCAGCACTTCTGCGAGTCTTTTAATCAAAACGTCTCCCGGCGTACTGACAGTGGAGGAGACCTCGGAATGCAGTCCAGTTTTTCGTCAGGGCGAGGTTTCCTTGGTATTTCCTGTGGCGACGTGGATCCAGTAGTGCAAGGCACAGCATACGATTTACGCTTGCAGAAGGGGGAGGGGGGGGCTCTCTCGTCGTATTAACCTTCACATCTACAGAACTAGCAGAAGTTGTGTTGGTTGCTGGTAATAGGGAACTGGACGCTGTGTTTTGAAGAACGCAGTTAAGCTGAGACTGAAGATATTTTTTCAACTGCTCTTCACGACAATTACCGTTCAAGTGACTGTCATCTTCATAGCGTTCTGCTATCTTGCTTATACCATCCAGTTCTGCTTTCGTGGCAGCTAATTATTTCATCATTTGTATTTTTTTACTTCGTCTTCTTGCCTTTTCAGAGCTACAGTCTCCTTGCTCTCCACGTCGTGATAGTTTTGTTCAGGCTGAAGTCAAGGTGCCTTAGGGGCCATCTCAGCCCTCCTTTGAAGTGACGAGCTAAATTCCACAGATGACCTTGGGCGTCTGTTGTTTGCTTCTTGATGTATAAATTGAGCTTCGGCCATCCTCTTGAGTTTGAAGTGCGGAAATCCTTTCATTTTACAGCTACGGCCCCTCGTGATTTTGTGACTCAAAGCATCATAATGACTATTAAGTGCTAATCTCTGTTCAGCTTCTTCGATTTCCAAGGTATCATACAACACTTCGTAAGTGCTTGCAAAATCATCCATACGCACTCCTAACTTTCCTGGTTCCCTCTGCAAAGGAGATAATTTCATTGCATCTATGGTCAGAAGGTGGTGAATTTTGTTAACTTGCTTCTTACATCCCTCACGTGAGATTTCAAAGTCTCTTCGTAATATCTGGCGACGGTATTCTTTCAGCTTCCCTGTTGGCAGCTTTGGCGACTGCTCATCCGAACAGCTTCAAGCGTGACTCTCTCATTTAAGGGTGGACCTATCCCGCTGAGGTTTAAGTCTTCAGGATTTTCGCTGGTGCCGACATTGTCGGTGAGAGTATACGCGGCTGTGTCTCTGTTTGCATCGGTATTCTGGACGCTCATCACGTGTGAAGGGCATAGTTTTTACTATTACGGCGATAGGTTGATAACTGAGTTTGATCAACAACGGATGAACATAATAAAGGTTTTATTGATGATCCAACACGTAAAACTGAAATACATAATACATAATGGTAGATTATACTAAATAACTCGCGAAAAATGTAAAGAAAAGAAAGCATTCCGATACTGAATATTACATAACAAAGGAATCGATCACCCATGTAGTCCATTGGACGCGTAATGTTGAGCAGGAGGCAGTGATTGCAATTTTTCATCTTTATACGCCTCTAATGTCTTCCAAAAGGAAAGGCAGATCTAGTACAGCATCTCCATCTTCTTATCAGTCACCTGAAGAGAAAAGAAGCAAAAAATTAATAGTGAAACGGACGAAGCGTTTGAAGCGCTGGATGGCGGAGGACGTCGGTCTGAAACTGCAGCGTGTGCTGGATAAATTAGAAAAACTCGATAAGATAGAAGGGCATCTTAACGAGGTCTCTGCCAGTCTTGCTAGCGTTGAGGAAAGTATCCAGTTCAATGAAGACGACATTTTAGACCTGAAGAAGGAGTCAAAGGAGTCAAAGTTTGAAATAAATGATCTTCGAAAGCAGTTATTGTAATGTAGAAACCTATTCAGGAAGAGAAAATGTTAAAGTCTTTGGGATTGACGAAGTAGTGCCGGCATCTGAAGTTGACTCCCCACCCGAGGATACAAGAGATTTATTGTTCAAATTCCTCTAGAACAAGCTTCTTATTGAAAACCCTCGGGGTAGAATCGAGTTCCAAAGAGTCCCTCGTTTGGGAAAGCCTAACAACAGCAGTAACAAACTTCGCCCAATTATCGCACGTTTCTTACGATATTCGGACAAGGAAATGGTGATGGATCAAGCCCGCAAGGAGTTAAAGAGGCAAGAGGACAAACAGTTTTCTGTGTTTGACGATATAGCAAAAAAACTTTATGAAATAAGGAAAAGTCAGATGAAAAAGTTCAAGGAAGCCAGAGGCAAAGGCTACACAGTATACTTCAGCAAAGCGAAACCAGATAAGTTATTTGTTAATGGTAAATTTATTCCTGTAAATGCTCCGTTGACAGGTTTTGTTTAGGTACGAACACCGGTCTCTACACATTTCCAGAGATAAAAATGTACATGCAAATATAATACTCTCATTGGAGCTTTTCTTTCACTCTGCTCTCAAATAGTCATGTATTTGCACATAATATCCTCGTAATCTGTTGTAGGCGTTAAGTATATTCACTTTAAAACTTTGTTTCCGAATTACTGTCTATAAATCTGAACTAGTCTCTTGCTTTCGTACACAAACATGCAATCTCAAACAACTTTACTTAGTTCCATTCCAGAGCGTATCGTTCGCGATAGTTATCTTGCTGCTCTTTTAATTGTTTGTATCTTATTAAGTGGTTGTACTCTATTGTTTTTGTTTTCGTGGTTATTTTCCTTTCATTTTCGGTTATTCAAAGCTATCGCAGCATGTGAATGAAGTATTTCTCTGAATGTGAGATTGCTGTAAATGTGTTGATAAATTTTTCCCCCAAATGAGGTCCTACTCATTCTGATTATATGGGGCATAATGACAAGTTCAATCTTTTGTCGTTAAATGTTCGTGGGATTCGCACTTTTGAAAAGCGGAAAGCTGTTTTTAGTTGGCTCGTAAATTCCGGGGACGACATATTTTTCCTGCAAGAAACATACAGCACTGGAGATATTGAAAATATCTGGAGAAAACAATGGAAAGGCGAAATGTTCTTCTTGCATGGCAGTAATCATAGCAGAGGTGTTCTAGTACTTATAAGGGATAATTTAGAATTCAAAGTAAATTCCACCAAGGTAGATTCTCAAGGTCGCTACTCTTTTCTGGAGGCTTACATTCAAGATTCGCCTTACTTTCTTTTAAACATTTACGCTCCAAAGAAGTGTAGTAAAACAATTTCTCTTCTTCAAAGACGTATCGGATATTCTAAAAGGTGCAAGAGTGGAACAAGATCACCCATTTATAGTCGGTGGGGACTTCAATATCATTCTTGACCACGTTTTAGATGGGCAGGGCGGTAATAGTAAAAGGAAAGACTCCGGAAAAATTGTTGAAGACATGTACGCTGAGCTTGATTTAGTGGATATCTGGCGCATAAGAAACCCCACGAATACACGTTTTATTTGGCGTCAAAAGAAACCAATCATACAAAGGCGCTTAGATTATTGGCTCGTAAGCGATATTAGTTTACAAGATGACATAGATTCAGTTGACATTAAAACGTCAATTAAGTCAGATCATTCAGCAATAACGCTCTCTATAAATGGTTTAGATTATCTTGAAAAAGGACCTAACTTCTGGAAATTTAATTCAAACCTAGTAAATGATACCGCTTATTGTGAACTTCTACCCACTGAGTATGCCAATTGGCTAGAGGAATTCAAAGAAGTACAAGATAAACGTGTCTTATGGGATTTAATTAAATACAAAATTAGACAGCAAACAATCAGATAGAGCAAAACTAAAGCCCGCGAAAGAAGAGCAAAACTACAAAACCTAGAGGAAGATTTAAAGGAATGTACGGAGAAATACGATTCCTATCCAAATACAAAGAATCTGGAGGAACTCGAGTATCTTTAGAATATGATACTATGTATGATTACATTACACAAGGTGCGATCAACTTGGTACGAATTCGGCGAGAGAAATAACGGAAAGTCTTTAACAGGGAAGGAAAGTTAACCACAGCCCCTAAACAAATAATGAATGAGTTAGAAGCATTTTATTCTGACCTTTATGATGGTTGTACATGTGCAGACATGTAGTAGAGGAGAAGAAAAACGCTTGTGCGGGCAAATACGGAGGGATACGGAGAGTGTTACAATGCTTTGCAGACCTTCCAAAAGAATAAATCACCCGGAAACGACGGCTTTACCTTTGAATTTTACCTTGCTTTTTGGCCCGTGTTTGGAAGTTTGTTGGTGTAAAGTCTAAATTAAAGTACGGAGAGCTTTCAAATTCACAGAAACAGGTAGTTATAACTTTAGTTGAAAAACAGGAAAGGACGAAAGGCAAATAAAGAATTGGCGTCCAATATCTCTTATTAATGTAGAAGCAAAAATAGCGTCCAAGACCTTGGCCAAGCGGTTGGAAAATGTGCTACCCGAAATAAGTCACTTTGATCAGAGGGCCTTTGTCAAGGGGAGAAATATATTTGATGCCATCTGAACAATTGACGATGTGATTGAGCATACGATGAACAGGGATACATCGGGGATCTTAGTGGCCATAGATTTTGAGAAAGCTTTTGTTTCCCTCAATTTTAATTGATTACGCACATTTTACTTTGGTCCTTCTTTCATTCAGTGGGTACGAGACTTGTATAATAAGGACTCCAGCTGTGTTATGAATAATGGTTTTACTTCAGTACCTTTTTCTCTAAGTAGAGGTGTAAGGCAGGGGGATCCTCTTTCTCCCTATCTTTTCATATTAGCTTTGGAGATCTTAGCTATTAAGATAAGAGACGATAATAATATTCAAGGTATTAGGATAGGGGAAAAAATTGTTAAACTCACTCTTTTTGCGGATAATACGACCTGCTTCATTAAAAACATTAGGTCTTACTCAATCCTATTCGAAACCCTGAGGGCTTTCGGAGCGTTTTCAGGGTTAAAAGTAAGTAAGGATGCCTAGTAGAAACACATTTATGGTTAATGAATGCTGACCATGTACTAGCCATTTGACTATTAAGTTCAAACGTTAAGTTTGAGCCTTGGTAAAGCTGAAGGTCATCAGCATAAGCAGACAGTTGTGAATTTACACCAGAGTAGAGCAGATCATTTTGGTACACTTTCCACACTAATAGCCCCAGGGAGGATCCTTGCGGGCAGCCTCGATTAACTGCACCCAGGGTTGTCATTAAGAGCCGGGGGCCGGGGATTTTCCCCGGCTACTAAGAGAGTGGCCCCCGGCTACTTTTATTGGAAAATAGAAGAAAAATAGAACCAAAAGAAATCTCTAGCCATTTGATTCCCCGCCNGAATGCTGACCATGTACTAGCCATTTGACTATTAAGTTCAAACGTTAAGTTTGAGCCTTGGTAAAGCTGAAGGTCATCAGCATAAGCAGACAGTTGTGAATTTACACCAGAGTAGAGCAGATCATTTTGGTACACTTTCCACACTAATAGCCCCAGGGAGGATCCTTGCGGGCAGCCTCGATTAACTGCACCCAGGGTTGTCATTAAGAGCCGGGGGCCGGGGATTTTCCCCGGCTACTAAGAGAGTGGCCCCCGGCTACTTTTATTGGAAAATAGAAGAAAAATAGAACCAAAAGAAATCTCTAGCCATTTGATTCCCCGCCTACTTGTTGTGTTTACCCGGCTACTTGAAATCTTAGTGACAACCCTGTGCACCCCATTCACTTGTGCAGTTGCCAACTCTTGTCCTATTTTCTCTGTTTCTAAAGTAGGATCGCATTAGCATCAGAGAAGAATCGGATAGGCCATACGTTTCAGCTTTGCTAGTAGTAGCTTTGGGTGTGAGAAAAACATCTGCTTATGTCCTAAAACCGTGCCGAGAAACAAGCAGTATCATGTATATTGGTATCGTTGAACTGATTGTCTGTTTGTATGTCGTGTTGGAAGGTTGATGGTACTATAGTGCATAAGTTATAGTGGGGGCAAATGAGATTTTGGTATCTAAAGATTTCATGCTTTAAAGGTCAATCAAGGGCACTTTAAAACGGCCAACCTGGTTCTTCACAATTTATTTGTGTCTTATTACAGCTAAATGTGTTTAAAAGAGAAACGCAAACACTTTCACATGCACGATGAGACTGGAGATCTCGTGCCTCGCTGTTCACTGTAATAATAGCAACTTGAATGCGTTAAGACCTATTTAGTCGCTCTTGTCTCCGTGAAAGCAATAGGCTTGGCTCTATAATTGACAAGACGCTATGGAGCGTTAACTTTGGCGTCGTGGTTGTCGATTAATTGTGCATGCGGAGGAATAGTAAGAAACGATATTTTTTTCGGATACCCTTCCATACAAATACCCTTACTTTTCTCCTTTTGTTTAACAGAAGTCTTAACTTCGTCACCGGAAGTCTGCTAGGTGCATGACCCCGTGGCTGCAATCCAATTCGATTATAATTTCTGTTATAAATAAATTGCGCACGACGTATCAATAAGTTTCCTGTAAGCCCAAAATAACTAATCGTCGCACGCCGACCTCTCGGAGTTCTGCAGCAAAACGTTAACTTGCTGCTTGCCCAAACCTACAAATCAACCATCTTTTACTTTTCTGCTACAATCTCGTCTCTGCGATCTAACGGGGCAAAGATAAGTAACTGTAAACTGAAGGGCGAGCAAAAAATAATATTTTTGTCTTCCTCAGGTAAACGAAACAACTCGAGGTGATCTCGCCTTCCGCCTCAAATATTTGTTGTAGCCGAAAGAACTAGAAGTGATCTTGCGATATCTTCAACCAGAAACATGCTTCTGGTCCAACTTATTTCGGTGTCACTACGTAAAATGCCCAAAACAAGCCGAAAAGTAACAAACTTGCGTGCCCAATCTTTAACCGTACCTCGTGCATAACTTATGGCTCTTTTTCACATCTCAAATTACGTTCCGTCGCAGAGGCGCAATCGGCTAATCCCTCAATTTAGAGTCTCATCTGATCCTACGGATCACACGTTAGCCGCTTTAAGCCCTGGCCAAGCCAGAAATAATAATTATTTCTTCTTTATTTTTTCCAAAAGTAATAAATATTTCTTCCTGATAATTATTTCTTTCCCCTGTAAGAATAAATCAAAGAACTCGGAGATATCTCGAACTAATTCCGAAGCAACTTCGGGACCTCCGGATGCAACTCTGAAACCTTCCTGAGCGGCGCGAATCCTTTAATTCGCGCTCCGCCGAAATAATAAACTTGAAGCAGTAAGTCTTCAGAATTGCTGTCAGAAACAGAAAACCGTGAAATAACGCCTGACTTACTTCAAGAATGTTTACGTGATGCAATAAGAGAAAAAGATCAGGACACCCAAACAAGCCACTAAACCACGAACTAGGTAACCTGGGTGCTCATAGGGTTACCCTAGCAGTCGCTTATTTCTTTAGAAGGCAAGTAGGGCTAACCTGGCACTAGGGTAACCTTACTAAAGCTCTGCCAGGGATAATTTGCTCACCCGCTATGGATAACTCGCTCGATTCTCGGTAACGGTACTCAATTCTTGCAGTAATTGTGAATGAAGATATGAATCAAGAATTGAGACTCGCAAGTGGCCACTCTCAATACACGTAAAGCTAATCGTTGTTAGCTTAAGAGCCCAGGTGATAACATATACAGATAAAAAGCTTCCTACTGTGTTAATAAGAGCATAGCCTTGGCTGCTAAACCAAGTTCATTACCGCAGCGCTGTAACGTTAACTCAGTATCCCAAATATGTCAGTGGTGGTGTCATTATTTATATTTTAAAACATTAATTCAACAGTCAGCCACTGTAATGCCTTCAGTGAAACAAACTATCCAAACTGCACTTCATTTCCTGGTCCACCGTTAGAAATGCAAGTTATGAGTTATCTTCATAAGGGAAAACCTGCTGTTCAAGTAACATGGGAAGCACCAAGTACAGGTTTGTGCAAAGAATGAATTATTCACTAGTTATTTTACATTAGCAGTCATCATTATATTTATTGGTTGTGTTTTCACTAGGCCGGGTAACTAGCTAACAGGGGTTGTTTACAAACCGACTTTTACTAGTTAAACTGTTTACTAGTAAAAATGTTTTCACTTTGAAATTTAACCCGCAATCTAAGCCGCTAACTCAGAGGACTCAAATTGCGAAAGCACATCATAATCAAAAATGGCTGGGGAGGAAGCGCTTGTGATGATTTATCTTGTGATTATTCTCGCCGTATTTTTGCGAAGGAAAAGGAGTTATACTCAGCGAATGGGGCTTACAGATTAGGTAGAAATACTCCTAGTTTTTCGGTAGATACTTGCCCGTTGGTACACAAGATGACTTAGCAAGCAATGGTTTGTGAGCTAATACTGATTGTATCATTTATTATTACTAGAGGCAATTATATATACTTGAAAAAAAGTGGTGACCCCCAAAGAATGTTTTGCATTTATTTTAGTTTAAGCGGCTTCTTTAATTTTTACAATTTTTTCTAGCAACAGAATGTCGATTAATTTTTAATATTAAAAAGAAATTCATATCTTTAGAAAATTGCCTAATCCTTATAAATAGGATAAATAAACTGTTAATTTTCATGCACTATTCATTATCATTTTACATTAGTACCAGTTGACTGTTTGTCTTTTTTTAATAATTTAAAGGCCGTCATGATTTGTGGGGATATCACGTGTATCTTGTTGGCAAAAACGGGCATGCTGGTCATTACGATTGTGTCCAAATAAACTCTAAGGTAAATAAAATTTATTATCAATCTTCTTACAGAGAAAGGTCAAGTGACTCTTGAGTTTAATCGTGGACGGTCTTCTAGGCATGTTTAAATACGAATACCTCTTAGCCTTTTCGGTAACTGTCTGGCTAACCCCGACGTTTCTTCTCTTTCAAGAATAAACGTCGTCGCCAATGAGTTGCCTGCTTTTTGTTTTTTGCGTCTTCATTTTTTATGACCTGTTTTCTTTTGAGGTGTATGAAAAATAAGTTTTAAACCAACTGCCAAACTAAAGCATATGATACAATTGGCATTTGCAGGCTTAAATACACATGTTGAAAAGTTTTTAACATCAGTCTGATTGTATACTGTCAGAACTGTGAACTCAGACGGCAGTATTTGAACCTTTGAAATTCTAAGACGCATGCTTCTAGTTGGATTTATACCCAATATCTTTGGATCATGTGCATTAAAGATACCGATGGATCTTTGTTAGATGGGATCTAGCAGTTCTTTTGATGCACCCTTTGCACCATGATCCGAGCGATCTTGCATCGTAAATCCTGATACAGATCATCCCCAAGGAACGCACCTTTAGAGACGGGAGATGTTAGTCAACTTGGAATGCAATCAGCATCCATCGTCCGTCTTTATGGCACCTCGTCGGTTTTTCGTATCGTCCGACGACGGCTGACAATTGGCTGTTTTTATACCAGAGGACGTATTATCCGTCAAGATGGATAATGCATCTATGGTCGTTTTTATACTAGGGACGCATTATCCGCCTGGACGAACTTTAGTTCGTCTGGTTATGCGTCTCAAGTATAAAGACCGGCACAAGACGCATTATGCGTCTGGACGAACTTTCCTTCGAAATACGTCTTGAACGACGCACTACGAAAGGTAGTTTGTCTGGACGCATAATGCGTCTTGTACCCGTCTTTGGAGACGCATAACCAGACGAACTACAAAATGTTTGCCCAAGTTCGTGCAGACGGATAATGCGTCATTAGTATAAAAAAGCCCATAATTATTGTCATTCTGGGGTCAGGGACTCTCGAATTTGGTGCCTACTAATAACAAACCTTTTCTACACTGGGTGATCGATTGCGTGTCGGTGTTCCTCCAAAAAATCATTCTCCACAAAGTAGTCGGATTCAACAATGAGGGAGGAGAAAGGGAAAGAGTCACAGCTTTCGTTGAGTTTTTCAACAAAATTTGAGAGAGGTGATTCAAACTATTCGAGGCAGCTTAACAGTTACAGGTCAAATGGTGTCATGTAATTGAGAAAAATAAGTAAGTATCAGGGGCACCCAACGGCAATTTTCGGGAAAATATCTGTTCGGGAGACGATTTGAGATCTAGAATTTTCGGAGCATTTGTTGTAAAATTTCTTGCTTGCCTGCCTCTCCTAGGATTTTCGAACATCTACAAAATGGTATAATTACCCATTTTAAACGGATATTTACCCTAAAAAAGGCCACCTAGAATTTTCGGGAGCCTTTTCCTGGCTGAAATTTTCGAGAAGGTAAGTTTTTATCCCTATAATTTTCGGATCACTAGACTTTCAGCTAGGAAATCCGAACAGATGAAAAGTTTTTAGGGGATAAAAATATGCCTATATCTACCGTTTGAACACTAAAATACGTTCAACAATGCTATGTTAAGTGGTTTTGAACTATATCCTCGTTGGGTGCCCTTGAAGTATCCACTGTAAAAGCTTTAAGAATTGGATAAGCCATGAGAATTATGTCAGCCAGACTTTATTCAAGTCTGTCATTTTGTACCAGAGTGCACAGTATCTAATACACTCAGGAATTAACTTTGTTTGTATGTGGTCATGTTTTTTTATTAATAGATTTCTTCTTTTCTAATTTATCGGAGCTTGTAATTAACAACACCTTGCACAAGCGACTAAGTAGGCCTGTTTAATCGGCTACATTTGATATTGCTATTAAGACTGCAAGTTTTAGACGATTAGGTCTTAAAACTATCCAACCAAATACTTCCCTGCCAGCAGAGGCTACATTTTCGAAGTGTGAGCTGGCGCGCGAAAAGTAGCCTCTGCCGACAACCGTTCAATTTTCTATCGTGCATGCGGGAAATTCGTCACGCCACTTGCAAGCAAAATTAATCGTAAGGTCTGTCGTCAAATGGCGCGAGTTTCGCGAGTACAAGTATGGTCTGCTACACAAGACTCATGCAAGACTCACGCAATGCTCTAAACCGGTCAAGAACAGGAAAAAACCCATTTTTTTTAACCTATTCGTCCACATTTCTGGACGGATTTGAATGGTTGTCGGCAGAGGCTACTTTTGCACGACAGCTCACACAGCGAAAATGTAGCATCTGCTCGCGGGGGTAACAAAATACCGTATCTAAACGACAGTAATGCAGCATGTTTTTGCAAAGAAGCGCAAGCCAAAAGAAATACTACCAGAATTTAAAAGTACTAAATAATAAATCGGTAAAAACTGCATGTCTTTGTTTGACCTCTTTAGACAATGATTTCTCAAACCATAGTTATTAGAGGAGACCGGTTATGAAAAGCGGCAAACATCAATGATAAAAACAACGGTGCTGCAGTTTATGTTGGAAGCACCCTGAAAGTGCACAATCCTTTGTTTTCTGTTGGCAAATTGTTACGGAATAAATTAAATTAATTAATAAAATGATAGGAATTCTTTTGAACGTTGTGCACTTTCAGGTCCACAAAAACATATAACAAAGGAGTCTGACGGGTTTCATAACCATTCCACTCAATTAACTATGCTCAAACTCATAATAATTTATGAAGGAAAACAAGGAAATCACTATCGTAACCAGGGTCACTTGAATATCGGATCTTAATAAACATACAATTTTGCGAACTCTAGCTTCTAATTTCTTCAATTGCGTCAAATTTCTTCAACCAACTTCTTTGTACCTGGTTATTGGATGAAACACTGTATGTCTTGTTTGATAAATTGTTTGAAACCAGTGTTTAAGATGTCCTGTGATCAATTATGTCACTCCCAGTATTTTTAATTATGTGGCAACATCTGATTTTAGACTGATCAGCTTCACTGGATATTTATTGAACGCATTCGGTATGGAGCAGCTTATCAGGTTATTGTGCAGAGTATGCCAGCATATCATAGAAATGATGGAAATGCTGTTTCTAAGGATGTAACAGTTCCAGGTAATGTAGAAAAAAATAGAATTTTTTGGCTTCCGCTTTATGTGGATCAGCGACTTCTTTACTTATATAAAGAAATTGTCTGGAAAAAATACCGAAAAATGTATATATACAGACAACTCTCAAGGACATGAAGACATCAATTAGTCTTTCTGGCTCATTGTAATGGTAAAAGACATGATCTTCATATTGCAAAAAGGTCAGTGGGAATTATAATTAGTTATTGCAGATTGGAAAAGTGGGTTTGACTTGTCTAAGGCCCGGTTCAGACGCCGCTCCACTCATGTGCCGAACCTAACTGTTGAATTAAGTGCGGCAAAAGAGCGCTGTACCGACGTTTGCGGTAAAAATCAACCTTTATGAAGTAATTTTTCACATCTAATTGGTTGGTGTATTGAACGGCTTGGAAACTAAAATTTAATAGCATTTTGTTTTGAATGAGGGTATGGGCATGACTTTCAATTGAACGTGCCTAGCGAGCGTAAAAATCGCATCCAATCTGAGGATTAATGAAAGAGGCGAAATTTTATATATTTAGGCGTGACAAAATTCAAGGGACTATTGGTACTTAGAAATAGCATCTCATAGGCATGGAAAAACTGGATTCATTGCCTCGCAGCCCAAAGTTGACCTAACTGAACTTAGGTCCCAGATCACTCGCCCGGCTGATGATTCATTCCCAGTTTTTGCTCGTCCAGTTTGGCATGTCGGGCAGCCGATGGTGAAGCCAGTTGGGTTTGGCATGCCCAGTATGACTAATTTTGATGTTCGCTCCAGCACCATATCATGAGATTCACACAATCGCCAAATATATCTTAGGGGAGCTTAAATTACGGGTTTCATGCCTAGCAATAAATGTAGATTTTAACCAAAAAAAGTTATGTTTGTCATAATGTATGTCACGGGATCGACTGGCAAAACTGAAGACAGAAGTTCTTGAACAAGCTTTATTTATTGAAAAAGCACAACAAAACAACATTATTCATGCCAAAAAAAACAGAATACTTCACTTGTATTCAAAGATCAATTAATCCTTATGCTTCGAACCGATAACATTTCTGGGTCCAGCTTACCAGGTCGTTCAAGTCGGTACGAGAGTACGTTCGGGTTTGGTGAATTTGGACTGCCTTCTCAGATAGATTTTGCTTAGATTTTCAGTGCGCTTCTTGTCGGCTCTGCGAATCTCGCAAATCTGTTTTACTCCTTGCTGACGGTAGTCCTTTCAGCAACGTCATCTGCTTGATCCGAAGATAACCCTAGTACGCACAGGTACCAGGCGAAATCGGCCTAATTTTTCCAGCGAAGGGTTCTCGAATTACGATGAATCTATCCAGTTTTGTTGTAGCGTGGCAGTTGTGGTGTCACGATGTCGTGATGTCTCTTCGCACTTGTTTGTTTTTTCTTTTCTCCTGCGGTATTGGGATGTTGGTGAATGCTGGACAAGAAATGGATTCTGCGAGAGACTGTAAGTACAAATTTGGTATTAATTTGG